AGCACAGGCCATGGAGGAACACTGATTACTGGCTTGCTCCCCTGGCCCCTGCTCAGCTTGCTCTCTTATCCAACACAGGCCCACCTGCCCAGGGGTGGCACTACCCACAGTGGGCTGGGCCCTCCCACATCACTCCATAATCAAGAAAATGCCCCACAGACATGGCCACAGGCCAGTCCAATGGAGGAAATTCCCCAATTGAGGCTCCTTCAACCCAGGTGTGTCAAGTTGACGCTAAAGCTATCCAGCACATGCTCCAAGGCCATTTTGATTGATAGTAGAATTCAGAAGACTAAGAAGTAATATACAGATTCTTGTTCTTAATTCCCATTTTTAACTGAATAAATTGTTTCTAAAAGTGAGTTCACTAGTATAAATAGAAAGTCCTAATGAAGGCAGTGTGCTATGAAAACAGGTTTGGTTTGCATTAGGTTGAAATCTCCTGCCCATACCTGATGAGAAGAGTTAAAGTAAAATAAGATATAATTTAGATATGACAAAAATGTGTCATTTTATCATCTCATGATGCCACCAGAGGATTATATACATTGGTATTAGTTTATGTGTGACCAAACAACAAAATTATTTGTTTAGAAATGTAATTATATGATGAAATCCATTTTTATATTAAAGAATGGAAAGTGAAGTTCAGGGGGCAGGCGAGATGATTCCATGGGCAAAGCATGTTGTTCACAAGCTCGATAACCTAGGTTTGCTCCATGGAACTTACATAAAGGTGAAAAGAGAAAATGACACTATAAAACGTTTCTTTGGCCTCTACACACTTGCCTTGGCATGCAGGTACCCAAACACATGTCACAATAATACAGCAATACACATTAAAAAAAAGAAAGTGAAGCGCAAATCTTATTTTTGGTCTCATGAAGATATTGTCCAATAATATTGAACTTTAGATCATTTAATTTTAATGTAAATACAACAAATATAGATAACCAATTTGGATTAGTTTCGCTAATTATGCTATATTTCAGAGGACATAGCTTTTAAATTCTCCTTCAGAAGTTTGTATAAATAACTTTTCTGAGGATGATTTTCTCACTCTTATACTATAGAGAATATGATTGACAGATTAGGGAATATTATCAGTCATCACTAATTCACATGAGGATTTGTTACTGAGATTTACTGCATGTTATTTTTACTTTCCCAGTCTTTCCTAGGGGCCAAGTGTTTGCTATAGGGTAGGAGATGAAGTAAGGAATTTACTAATTCATATCAATCTTCAATATAGGTCCACAAACTTCTCCATAAAAAATTTCCTTGAGTGGCTGGAGAGATGGTGCAGCAGTTAAGAGTACTGACTGCTCTTGCAGAGACCCTAGTTAGATTCCCAGCACCCACATTGTGGCTACAAACCATCTTTAACTTCAGTTCCAGGGGAATCTGAATCCCCCTTCTAACCTCCGCGGCATTGCATGACACAGGTGCACTCACATACATGCAGGCAATATACTCATACACATAAAATAAAAATAATAAATAAAATTTAAAAAAATCTTCCTTGAATCTTGTATGTGGTATTCCCATTTGCTCAGAGAGCAAATGGTAAGCCAATCTTCCATTACAAAAGCCTCAAAGTAAGAAACATACCACAGGTATGTGAAATTTCAAAACTTATGAGTACTTCATATGCCAATCCCACTAAAATACAGTTCTCTATCAACTGCACATTTCTCATATTTAGTATTTAAAGTCAATGTAAACTCATTTTGTGAAGTAATATAAAAATATTTCTGATTGTCTAAAATCAAGAAGTTAAACTTAATTGGGATGTGTTGGCACACAGCTTTAATCCCAATACTTGGAAAACAGAGGCAGGTTGATCTCTGTGAGATCAAGGCCAGCCTGGTCTACATAGAGAGTTCCAGGCCAGCTGGGGTAATGGAGAAACCTTGTATTAATCAATTCATTCATTCATTCATTCATTCATTCATTCATTCATTCATTCATGCAAAGCTGAGTTCCTGATGGACTATCTTCAGGATACAACTCTGGTTGTTCTCTCCCAGCCTCTGCAGGTTCTTTCTACACACACCAGCCTCTGCAGCAGATTTTCCCCTCTCCTCAGCTATAGCTCATACTCGGCTTCATTATGTTGACCTCATAGGAAGGAAGGGGAAGAATTTGAGGTGGGTTAATTTCTTCGGCAGGACAGAGGCAGCTGACTTAACTCCATCAGAAGGAAAGTAATGCTAGTTCTCAGCTGAGAGACACGAACCAGTGTAGTCTTGGAGCACTGAGGAGTCTGAGCATTTGTCATTTTCAAGGGCCTCCACCTGGATTGTCCCTTTTACAGTCCTATTCTTTCTCAAGCTGAAACCTGACCTTGGCTTGGCTGTCTTGCCTTTCTTCATAATTTGACCTTTGCTGTTGTGGTTTAGCAATCTGCCTGTTAAGTTCTGGGTCATTTTCTCAATTTCCTATACAGTTTCCTTCAATGGTTGCTACCAAAGAGGATCTCTAACTTTCAAGTCTGTTTCTATTGGTAATTAGTTGTCCTTACTTTTCATTTCTTTGTAATTCTTCTTTCCCATATTACTCAAATGTGGCAATTTTAATAGGTAATGCATTAAATTTCACTACAGTCTTCAATTTATCATTGAACAATTGAATGCCATTTTGTGTACGGGATCTCTCTGTTCTGCACGACTAGCAACAGTGTTCACACTGACACCCAGGTACTCTGTGATTCAACTCCAAGCCACATCTTTGCACATAGTTTCTGGGCCCCTTTCCCTATGCAATCTACTCTAGATATATGTCAAATGTATTAGATTTTCATTAAGGAGCATTCTCCTGACAACATCAATGGGAGAAAGAGGGAAAATGGAGTGGGGAGTGAGAGCTACTACAATAAACAGCTTCTGAGAAAGCCAAGAACCTGAGCAAAAATGATTCTCAGATTGATTCCACATGAGGCTGAGCAAGCCAGGTGTTCTTCATAAACTGGTAGTTGCATCTGACTTACAGTTTCAGTAGCATGGATTTGGTCATGTAGATTTCAGCAGCTGATATATATATATATATATCATAAAACAGTCATAAAACAGTGTTTCCAATGAAAACAAAATGAATAGCATTCTAAGTAAAGTTCAAAGCTGAATAACTGGATCAAAACATAGAACAATGTATGTCCTGAAAAGAGTAATTTCATCATAATTAGAAAATTAATGAAAATTATTGGGACAGGTGTATAAAAACAAAACATTAAATATACTAGAAGAATTTTCAACCTGGACTTTAAGGAACTATAGAGAAAATAAGAAAAATATAATTTTATGATTTCAAAAATACCAGACCACCAGGAAGATTACAATAATCCACTTACCATGAATACCTAACTAGTCATTTATCACACCTATCTAGTCCTTTTTCATGCCTACTTACTACTCAAATTATTCATGACTTTCTGCTTTCTATTCTTCTGGACTATGGGAACCACAATTCTATTTTAAGTTCTATGAACTCAATTTTTTATAGCGGAATATATGTGATAGTAAACTTTATTGAACATATATGATAATAAATTTTATCGCACTGAATATTTGTGATAGTAAATTTTATTTTCAAACTTGATTAGATTGAGAATTACCTAGGGCATGTGTGATGTATACCTTTGGGTGTGTCTGTGAATACATTTCCACAGAGAATTAGCTGAGTGAGAAAGATCCATCCTGAATGTAGGCAGTGGCCTCCCCTGGGATGAGGATCCTGGAACAAACCCAGTTACTGAGGAGTGAATAAGCAGCCTCATAGCCTTGAAGCCACAGCTAGGAGCTGCTCCAAACACCATGCCTTCCATATTACAATGGGCCGTACCCTCCAACTGTGAGCCAAAATAATATTCTCCCTTCAAGTTTCTCATTATTGGGTATTAGGGCAAAATATGGCAAAGTAGATAATAAACCTATAAGTAACTTCAAGTAGTATTAATATTTTAACTATACCAACTCTTCCAATTTATGCATGAGCACAGAGCACCTTTCCATTTATCAACTTCTTTCATAACTGTTTTATAGTTTTCAGTAAATATTAGCATGTACCAGCATAAATTATCTGCTTGTATAAAATAAGTTCTAATGTACAATAGATAATTGAAAACATACAGAATCGAGTTTTGATCTCAGTTATTTGTGTTTGGAACATATTCAAGGCCAGCCTGGTCTACATAATGAGTTCCAGGACAGCTGGGTCTATAGGGAGACCTTGTCTCAAAAAGACCAAAAAAAAATGTAATTGAAAAATCCTCCTAGATTTGAAAAATCAAATGATGAACTTTTAACAAGCTGTAATCAAAGTATTGGGTATTTAACAACCATAGTTTGAGGCCTATACTAATGTGGTCAGAGGGACTTAAAGGATAGTTTTTGCTCCTTGCCCTCCAAGGTCAACTAAGTTCCAGAGGACTATGGAACATCTCTCAAAATGTCCTGCAACTGTGGTGAGTCACCTGTCTTCTTGTTCAGGGAGGACATGGAGACCCCATGAGATGGACTTGAACTAGTGTCCAGTCTACAAAGAAGAGGGTCAACTCAGAGGAAACATCCCATTCATGCTTCCAAGTGAAGACAGACATGATTGAGCAGGAACATTGACTTATCTTCACATAGATGCAACTGGTAAAAGAAAGGAGCCAGGAGCTCCTCCCAAGCCCATGTGTGCAGGGACATGGTGTCCTGACCTCCACCTCCCCCTTGTAAGATCTTGGGTATCTGTGGTATTTCCTGGAATTGTTTATTACAAGAACTTTCTCCTGATTCTGAGAAAAGGTGCACCTGACCCAAAAACTAGCCTTACAGTCAGGTGATCCCAATTATCATGTGTCCTGACTCCATCTCCTCTACTGTAAAGTATTTAAACCCTTGTCTCAAACAATAAAGTGGCAGTCGAAGTCCTTCCTCCCACTCCATGATTGGTGTGATAGTTTGTTCAATCCTGACGCCCTCTGCCCAGAATACTCGGAGCTTGACATGTTGGCACAGCAAGTGGAGGTCCCACTGAGATCTGAGGAAAGGAGGTAAGCAGACAGGGTCGTCCTTGGCCGGCGAGGACGTATTGGGGATAATACATAAGAATATCTGTAAACATGGGAAACGTATAAAGTAAACATGAACTGTAAAAGATGAAACATGAAGAGGAGGAGAGGAGGAAGCAAGAGGAGACTAAAATAGAGCCTATCGAGAGGATGACTAGATATTATGTATAAAATGTAACATTGATAGGCTAATAAAGGTGAAAAGCAAAACTATTGAACAGTAACATGATTGCAAGAATCTTAGGATAAATGATTCTAGGCAGAGAAAGAAAAGGGGACATTGGTTGTTTTTGTTTGGTTGGTTGGGTTTTGTTTGTTTGTTATATCCCTGTTATCCCATATGTTAGGTAAAGCAAGGTCAAATTTGAATTGGTTTTCTATGGACTTCTGTTCCTACAATACTTGAAAATCTTTAAGAAAAAGGTGAAAATTCTAGTATTATTTTTCCTGTGAGGTGGTTACTTTTTCTAGGACTAATTTTGAAGCAGTTCAGTAGATAAAGAAGGATGCATACACTGACTAGAAAATTATGTTTAAACAATTAGCTTATGAAAATGCAAACCAGTATTGCAAAGAAGTACTTAGAGCCCAGAGGCACAAAAGCCTAAATGATTACATCAGATTGTGTAAAGATGTGGATGTGCATTATATACAGGGACAAGTGATTGCAGCTGCGTTGCGCCCGTCAAAAGGTAGACTGTCAACAGGCAGCAGAGGGGATCGCAACTGCTTTAGTTGTGGAAGATCCGATCATTTCTGCAAAGATTGTTCCCTGTTGCATAATAATAAAGAGAGGGCGCCAGGGCTCTGTCCTAAATGCAAAAAGGGAATACATTGGGCCAATAACTGTCACTCTAAATTTGATAACATGGGCAATCTTTTACTGCCATCTAACAATCAGGGAAACTGGCAGAGGGCCCCACTCCAGGGCCCCAGAACCTCAGTGTATGGAGCAATGACACCTGCCAGAGAGACTCATGGCAGCGGCAGGATTCGTTTTATTCCTCAAACCAACCCCTTCATGTCTCCGACCTCATTAGAGGCACCCCAGGAAGTGCAGGATTGGACCTCTGTACCACTGCCAGAGCAGTGGTAATGCCACAAATGGGGGTTCAAGCTCTACCTACAGGTGTCTATGGTCCACTCCCCAGACATTCCTTAGGTTTAATTTTGGGTAGAAGCAGTACAATCTTAAAGGGCATCCAGATTCATCCTGGAGTTACAGACTCGGATTATGAGGGAGAATTAAAAGTGATGATCTCTACAAAACATGGGGTTACAATCATTTCACAAGGAGAGAGGATTGCACAACTAATACTAATCCCCCAATTTCTCACTAACAATAGATGCATGAAAAGATCTAGAGGAAATGGTGGATTCGGCAGTACAGGACCAGGAGTGTTTTGGGTTGCTTCCATGTCAAATAGACCTACTTTAGAGTTGAATATAGAAAGGAAAAATTTTATTGGTATATTGGACACAGGAGCTGATGTGTAATGCCCCTTGATTCTTGGCCTGCATCCTGGGCCTTGGAGCAGGGAAGGGCACAACTCCAGGGTATTGGCTGTGCACTACCGAGCAAAAGCCTTAAAATTTTAAAATGGAAGGATGCCGAGGGCAATAAAGGACACTTTCAACCCTATGTTTTACAGGGACTCCCTGTAAACTTATGGGGCAGGGATCTATTAAATGAAATTGGAGTAGTTCTTACCACACAAAGTCAGGCTAAAAAAGGAAAATAACCCAGAATATAAGATAATGAGAAATCTTGGTTGGAGTAAAGGTCGTGGACTTGGAATAAACGAACAGGGGAGAGCTGACCCTGTATCTCCAGAGGAACAGATTGTTAGATACCCTGGAAATCGATCAGATTTGGGCCTTTTTTAATACGGGTCACTGTTCCTCTGCCTGCAGCTATTCCCATCCAATGGAAATCTAATGATCCTGTTTGGGTTGAACAGTGGCCCTTAACCAAAGAAAAATTTCAGGCAGCACATGCCCTAGTGGAGGAACAGCGGCTTGCTGGACATGTTCCTTCCACCTCCCCATGGAACACACCTATATTTTTTATAAAAAAGAAGTCAGGAAAATGGAGATTATTACAAGACCTGAGAGCCATTAATGCCACTATGCAGCCAATGGGTCCATTACAGCAGGGCTTGCCCTCTCCGGTCGGAATTCCTAAAAATTGGCATCTCATAGTAATAGATCTAAAAGATTGCTTCTTTACTATTCCATTACATCCGAATGACCATTGTCGATTTGCCTTTAGCATTCCTTCTATTAATTTCATGGAACCTGCCTTAAGATTTCAATGGGTGGTCCTCCCCCAGGGCATGGCTAATAGTCCAACTATCTGCCAATCCTATGTTGCTGTAGCCCTGGACCCTGTTAGAAGAAAATTCCCTGATATGTATATTGTACATTATATGGATGACATT